CATGTGCAAATCGCTAGATACAAATAAATATATAGACTTCACTCCAAAAAGTATTAGGACAAATTTATTTAATTTTCTGTGAGTGTCCTAATACTTTCGACTTTATTAATGCAACATCAACTTCATTTTTATTATAAAATGTAAAAAAATATTTTTTTCTATTATATATTTATATATATATTATTTATTTATGCTATATTATTTTTATTATATATTATATGTATTTATTATATTATATATATATACATTTTTTTACATTTTAATAAAAATAAAGTCAATCTTATAAAAGAAAATTAAAGTTTCTTTTCGGCAATACATGCACCACGTTTTGAATCATTTCTTAGATTAATTTTGGCATCTGTTTTATTAGTTTGTCTACTATTTCTGACCCTATTTGGTGCAATGCATGTTGCAATATGTTCCGCATACAATTTCGAAAACATAGTTTTCACTGAACAAAATGCAATTAATGGCTAAACTAATTGCGTAAATAACAAACACTTGTAACTTAATGTGTACTTCCGATGTCATAAAACTTAATACTGAACATAAAACATTACCTACATATAAATGAATAATTACAATTCATACTAAATCAGCAGATGTCCTAATACCTTTGGAGGGAGATGTACATATTAGTACTTTTCTCCAATGCTAAAGAAGTAAGTAGGTATTTTTCCATAATAATTAATAATATCATAATAATGACATAATTTCGCATAATGTATTTTTTCATAATTTAAATTCGCTTATTAAAAGTGAGAAGAAATTATTTATTCTTCGAAGTTTGTTTTTAAAATCAGTATCACGAATGGCAATATAACGCAACATAATACAACATAACACATGCTGTATTATTCATTTGTTATTTACAACTTCGCCTTCCACAGCAAAATGAAATTACTGTCCACTATTTAGATATTGAAAACTCTATGATCGAGAGATATGCGTACAAAATGAAAGTTTGTAACGCGCGACAATACATGTCCAACCGACGACGACGGTCTATTTAGGCTGCTCGACGCATGAAAATGTAATAACGACATAAATTGTCGTAATAGCTGACGGAAGAACACGGAGAAACGCAAATCGCGTCGTTCCGGGGCCACGTTATCCGCAAAATGGCATATCGGCGACGTTTATCCCGACGAGTGGCGAACGAAACGGTCCCTTACGCGCTTACGTACCCGCCTGATCTAAATTGAATAGACGTTTTGTGATGTAGTGCGCGACATTACCCACCCTGAAGGGAACCGCCCACGATAAGCTATGCCGGCTGTATCTCCAACTACGTTCTGGCGGTTCACATCTCCATTACCTCCTCTTCGGAATACCTGGTACTCGTTTACCTGTTCTTTCAGGCGTTTCGGTGATCGGCGTATTTACTTTATTCTTGTAGATTCGGCGTTAATATTTTAATGCACCATCTAAATATGAAAACTGAACTAGTTAGCAGTGACGCTTCCTTTTCAGAGCGCGCAGCTACATGTGTCGCGAGAATCAAACGATGACGAGTATACTCGTCAAACACAGAGCAAGTGCCGTTGTTAAAATATTGGGTCAAAAAGGCTGTTTTATTTTATAAAATTAACAATTTTATTACTAATATTTACTTGTTCACTTAACATTAACATATACTACGTATATAATAAACGAGAAACGCAGGAAGAATCAAATACTTATAAGAGTTAAAAATTTTATTTTTATTTTTATAACAATGTAAACACCTTCGTGTAGAATTGGCCTCAAAATATTCTAAACATCTTGAAATTTGAGAATATGTTTTTGTTTTCCCTAAAATTACAATTTAAATAGCCAATGGTCACTACTTGTTTACGCACGACGAGTATACTCGTCATGACACAAAATACTGCCTCTTCTCCATGACGAGTATACTCGACAAACACAGTTAACTGGTTAAAGGAACAAGATCTTGTAAGACATTGATGATTTTCATCACGGACTGTGTCAAATAGTTTGCTTCTAATCTTCAAAATTTAAAGTAACATATTCCTACGCAACCCTTTGGCGTATCATTTTTTTTCACACATGGAATGACTAGAAGTTTTTCGATTATAATAATTTCTTAACCAGTTAGCTGTTGCAATCTCTTCGGAAAGTGTTTAAGTCACTGCAATTATATAATTATGTAGCCAATAAACACTGGACGCCCTAAAGACGTCAATTTTACGTCCATTTTAGGGTTGAACATCTTACGCCGTAAAATGGACGTCTTTAAGACGTCCAAAAGACGTTCTTGTGCTATCTGGGTACATGTTTGCTCTCCTTCGTATTTTGTTTAAATATTAGGGGGACCGGAAAGTAATGTCGTTCCTGCGCATATTTATCTGTTTGAATTTAATGTAAACAAACGAAATAACTTTCCGGTCGCCCTAATACAACACTTTTGTAAAATATGTAATTTAATCAAGAATATCAAAGTACACATTCTTCTTAACCAGTTAGCTATTTTTGACAAGTATACTCGTCACGAAGAAATGACAACATTTTGTGTCATGAAGAGAATACTCGCCGAAGACAGCCAAGTGGTTAAAAGAAGAGGAACATTTTATATTTATTATATGCCTACATTTACTTGTGTGCTTAAATGTTGCTGACAAAATATTCACATTACAAGTCTCAACGGCCGCCTTTTTTCGTCATCATAAAGCGTCGCGTCAGTTTCTCTAGCCATGAAATTCCTGCAAAGCTATCGCAGATGCCAGAAAGCATCGGCGTCTCGATAAACTTGCTTCGCTATCGATTCCGACGAATCTTGAAGAAACAGCGCGCTTCATTGGCGACAGGCATCGTCACAGTACACCAAAGAGATCGGAGCAGACGGGGAACTCGTTATCGCGGCTCGCGTCGCACGTACAAATTATCTGCGAGCGATTCTGCAACTTGTCGTTTCCACGATTTCATTTCAGCTTGGCAAATAAATCAATTAATCGGTGCCTCGGCCCGATCCACGCTCGAGATCCGGCGTGAGCATCCGCGGGACCGTGATTAACGACGCACGCTCGTTTTGCCTGATTTCATTGGTATCTGATTCGCCGGAAAGCTGCGTGTGCAACACATCCTCTCCTTTTCTATCTTTCGCGTGCCTTAGTTTCGATTACTTTTATTATTATATCGTTATTATTATTATTATTGTTACCATTCATTGTTGTTGTTATTGTCATCATTCATCATTATTGTTACCGTTCATTTCTTCTATTTTTAAAAAATCATCCTGCACCTTCCTGCGTTCATTTTTCTTTTGTTTTCTTCCTGCCATTTTTCTCGTGTCGATTCCTTTCAAGCTACGAGCGAAATTAGATCGTGACTGTTGATGCCAGGAAAAATAGTGGTTTAATTAGAAAGATTTTTTTTATACATTATATTATTTTACATTATATTACATTATATTACATATTACATTATATTATATTATATTATTTTTATACATACATACCGCATTCGCTCCTTGCCTGCTCTGCATTTTTTAATATATCTTCATTTTCATTACTCTTGCGTTCAATCATATGTTCCATGTCAAGGTTATGTCGCCTTGTATTTTCTTCCTGACATTCCTTGCATTCTCTAAAGCGGCGGGTGAGAAACGTAATTTATTAAGTATCTCGGAAATCAATGGGGATAATTTGGTCAGTTTAAAAGTGTGAAATATTCCGATGCATTTTATCGTCTTCCTTAGTGTTCGGGTGCTGTAAATGGAAAGCATTCCAGATAGCAAACGACGTCTTACGAACGTCTTTAACGCTGAGCCCTAAACGCGACCGTATACTATTTTATGACACTGCCAAGACTGGATTTATTCAAACTTCATATAATTTATATTTTATAATATAAACTATACGAAGTTTATATCGTAACATAAATAAGTGTACCTAAATATTTCTCCTAGAAATATGTATAATATCAATATTGTATAACATCAAGAACGGTGAAAGAAAATATCAGAAACCAGTCATTTTGACTGGTCTTTGACACTTCTAGTGTCAAGACCCCCAGTTTTACTCTCAAATGGTCACCTCCTGAAAGAGAAAACCCATCGCACCCTTTAGGATCAATACAATTATATCAAAAGAATTATTTGAAATCTAAATTATTAGATATTAATCTAAGATTAGATATTAATCCGTATTATTAATCTAATGAGTAATTAGCTTACGTTAGTAAATAAAAATAGTAATAATAACAATAACAATAACAATAACAATAACAACAATAATAATAATAATAATAATAATTTTTACTCTCCCTCTCTCTCTCTCTCTCTCTCTCTCTCTCTCTCTCTGTCTGTCTCTCTCTGTCTCTCTCTCACTCTCTCTCTCACTCATTGCCACGTATTTTTCTTCGCCGTCCGGTTGCATCCCAGTCGACGTTGACCGACGTGCACCGGCATGCACCGGCGTTGATCGATCGGTATCGGGAGGAACTTGAGCGTATGTACAAGCGAGGTTGTTCCATCAATCGGCAATGCGTGTTTCAGCATGGAAATTCAGCGCTGCACGAGGCGTCCTGGCGAGGGTACAGCCGGACCGTGGCCGCCCTGGCGAAGGCCCTCGGGACACAGCGTGCCCCTCTGCACGCGAGGAATCTCGCCGGATTCGCGCCGCTTCACCTCGCCTGCCAAAACGGGCATAACCAAAGCTGCCGCGAACTCCTCCTGGCGGGGTGCAATCCTGACCTTCAAAACAACGTGAGTAATAGGCCCGGCGTGGGCTCTCTATCATCCATTTGCAAACGCGATGCACTCGGTTCGACTTAAACGCGGGATTAAATATGAGTCTTGGATGAACACGAGTAGCAGTCTCGAGACGGTTCTCGGCGCTTTTAAATAGTGTGCTCCTGGTGCTCCAATCACCTTGGCCTTGGTATATAGTGGCTCCGAAACGTCTCACGAGGGAAGCGTCAGGCATGGCTCACAGCGATTGCAATGAAATTCGTCAGAGTGATACGTCTATACAGTATGGCTCACAAAAGTGTTCGTACACATTCTAAAACGTAATAATTTCTTTAAAATTCGACTAAATGACTTGAATTTTTTTAGATGACAGCGGGACTAGATTAATTTTTTTAGATGATAGCGAGACGGCGACCAAAATGCATTTTTTAAATTTTGCTATTACTTAAAATGTCAAAAAAAAGAAATAAAAACTCTCGTTTTTTAACATTTTTATTTAAGCCTATGACGGAAATTTAAAAACTACCCCTCGTAGATCTCGGTTACTAAATTTCGTTGAAATCGTGAGCCATATTTGATACTTCCCTTGTCAGTACGGTATATTTTCGGTTTTTAATTGTGAACATTTGAACTTTCGATTCTTTTTTTGTAAAAACGAGTCGTGCGACTTCAGTTATTTAAACCTTCTGCGAATCATGTTGGGGCCAAATTAACGCTCGAACGACAAACTCAGAGTTCTTTCAAAATTGATATTTCTGTCAATTATAATTTCTGGCAACTGAATTCAATTTTCATATGTTTCAACAAAGCCTATAGAAAATCTAACGTATCTAAAAGAAGCATCTTATAAAATATGTTGAAAAAAATTGATGAATAAAATAATAAATGTTCCTTATGTATACCACGTATATTTTATCAGTATCCCACATGGTTCAGGATTAACAATTGTTCATTGTTAATTAAAGATTCTATTACAGTATGGAGATACGCCCCTTCATACGTCTGCACGGTACGGCCACGCCGGAGTCACGCGTATTCTGATCTCTGCGCTTTGTCGAGTCTCGGATCAAAATAAAGTAAGTAAAATAATCAATAGCATTATTTCTTGAAAGATTACATAACCAAACTAAACCATTTATTTCTGATGTAATCGGATCGTGCATGTTATCTTTGAATGATAGTACGTTTGCCAAAATAAAACGGATTTTTCAATACATATAATATGTATATCTTCGAGGCACTCCTGTCGATAAACACTTTTGCCAATCTCGTATCTTGAACTCTCATTTGTGATACTTAATTTGGAAAGATAAATAATCAATTTTGTAAAAATCTTTCTCGAAAATCTAAACTCGACAAGTATAAATTAAAATGGTGTTCAAATAAACACCTTTTTTACAGCTGATTGTTACATAATAGTATTTGTACGAGTGATAAAGAACAATGTTCAAAAATATGGGCAAAATTTTTGAGCATATGCTCTATCTCTATTTTTTTATTGCATTATTTGAGCCGTTTATTTTGAAAGTGGCATAAGTCACTTTGTTTTTAAGTCAATATATTTAAGGGTTTGCGTTTTAACACGTTTAAAAATATAAATATAGCTTTCGAGAAGATTTACTTGTATTTGTTATCTCAGGATACTGATATTTTTCTCAGTATAAATAATTTCGTATAAACATTAAAAAATTACCACTTTTCATTACGGTAAAGTGACTTATGCCACTTTCAAAATAAACGACTCATTTGTGTCACTGTTTCGAAAAGGAATCAGAAATGAACGGTGTTTCATAACATCTAGTTTCACCTTATTCTCATAAATGAACCGTTTAATTTGAAACTGGCCTAAATCCATTTTCCAAAACCATCGATCTAACTATTTCAATATTTACATTTTACGTTACATATAATTTCATTTCAGCAGAGCCTCTAGAATGCAACAACCCTTGGAAACTTAAAAACATTATACTATCATATCATCGATTACCAATGTTTTTAAATTGATTAAAACGCAAAATCCTTAAATATCTGTGACTTTTAAAATAAATGGACTTAGGCCACATTCAAAATAATCGGCTCAGATCCAGAATTGTAACCTCCATACGCAGTAGAGGACTGTGGGTATTGTCTCGTGCCTTGCGAATGGGAAAATCTCGAATTCGATCCCTCTCGCGATATTCCACTAATGTTTCCATCGCGACAGATTCAATGTGTGCCCGAAGGGACCCTCCTTCGCCATTTATCTACCAGAAACCATCCGCGGTCTGACTATTAACACGCTGATCTTCTCGCAGAACGGCGACACTGCGTTACACATCGCGGCGGCGATGGGTCGTCGAAAGCTGACGAGGATCCTGCTGGAGGCTGGCTGCGACCGTAGCCTGCGGAACAAGCAAGGGGAAACGGCGAAGGACATAGCCCGGCGCAAGAACCTGACAGAGATACTCGAGATAATCGGTAAAGCGCGAAGCAAGAGCAGAGCGCGTAGTAAAAGCCGGGAGGAGGAGGCCGCGCCGGTAGACAAGGTCGACGGGAAGAGCAACAAGAGCGAGAAGAAGCGAGAGAAGACTGGTAGTGGTACCAGCGGGAGCAGGGACAGTTGCACGAAGAAGGAGAAAAAGAAGCACAAATCGTCCGGCAAGCAGAACAAGGTCCATTTCGAGAAAGCCGTGATGGGTAGGCAGTGGTCCCCGTACGGGTGCCATTACTACCCGGACCCGGAAGCGTTTCCGCAGCCGCGTTTGGACTCGCTGCCGCCGGATCCGCTGGCCCGTGGAGAACAGTACTACCTGGACCTCGCTGGAAATATCAGGAAGGGCCCGGTGGGGGTGGGCTACACCTGCTACTGCGCGCCGTTCTTCAGGCACATGGAGGCCAAGCTGGAGAGGGACAAAGCGGAGCTGAAGGCGCACATCGATCAAGCTCACGAGCGGCTCGACCTGAAGGTGGCCAACCTGGAAAGGAGGACCAGAGGACAGATCTCCGAACTGACTAGATGCGTGGCCGCCGAGAGGTCAAGGTGCGACGAGAGGCACACGCATCTTCAGCAACGTTTGTCCCGCGGCGGAAGGGGCAGACACAGCGAGAGGCCAGCGAAGGCATCGTTCGCCAACGATCAGTCCCTTCCACCGGCTCGGGCCAGGTCACTGGAGGATCTGCTGGACGACAGACCCCACGATAGGAGTTTCGAGATTCCAGGAGAGACGCCGATACATCGCGGCAGCTTGGACGATCTTGATATACCAGCCATACCTAGACTTAGCAAATCCATGAGAGATCTACCTACGGGTTCCGGTATCTCGAGGTCAACCTTGAGGGTGCTCGATGTGCCGCCCAGGCTGAACGAAACGTTCGACGGCGTGATCAAGCAGGATCGCAGCTCGCCGCTCGGAGCCGCTTCCTCCCCGTCGATCGGATCCAGACAACAGGTTCATCAGCAGCGTGTAAGTGTGTAAACTTCTTTCGCCAGTTACGATGTCTTCTCCACAGAGGTGTTGATTGGGCTGAGGCTGCAACATCGCGTTTCTGAAACCTGAGATTGCTACACGTGTTTCGCTTTCTACAGGATTCTTTGCTGCACAGAATCAGCATACAAGGGATGACTCCCACAATCCGGAAGTTCAAGAAATTCTGAAACTTTGGGGATATGTAGGACATACGTGTTACCCAATTTTTTGTCATGCGTAAATTCACTTTAAGTGGTAGAAAGTAACTCTCAAACATTCGGCTATGTTTTATTTTATTGCTATAATTCGCGAACTGTACGAGATAAGGGAAAGGTCTTCGAACAAAAGTTGCTTCTTTTGTCCAATTTTATCATATGATGTACGATTTGTTAATCGTTTAAACAATAAGAAAATGTTGTAAGCAAATAATCGATATTTTTCGTATGCCACGTGATAGATTTAGACAAAAACAGTAACTTTTGTTTGGTGACTTTTTTTATTGTAGCAATAAAATAAAGAATGGCCGAATATATGGAAGCGAATTTTTACCTCTTAAAGTGAATTTGCATAAGAAAAAAAGCTTGTGTAATACACACCTACACATGCTGTACACATCCCAAAGTTTCAGAAGTTTCTGAATTTCCAGGTTGTTAGTATAGTTAAACATTTTAGCTAAACGATAATCTAAATAATTCTGTAATCAATGTTCACCGAACTCGGAAGTCATATTTGATGACTCAGATTCTTTCACAATAACAATAATTTTCAATTGTAAGAATTTCTTAATAGAAACAAAAAATTTCTATTCATTGTATGTCTAGATTTACTTGAATGCTTAAACATTGATAACAAAACAACAGAATCCTATTTCGACTTAATAGATTCTTATTATTTTCATTATTATATATTATTGTTTTTAATTATAATATAATAATATATAATTATAATATATAATTATAATATAATATTTTTAATTATATTATTTTCATCACTAGTCACACTCTTGAAAGTACGAGGTCAATGTTAAGATAAAATAATTATTGCTACGTCAAGTAAGATTCTGTTATTAAGATTATGTTATTGTTAACAAAAGTTATTATTAAAATATTATTAATTATATTATTAATCTTATTAAATATGTTAATAAGATTCTGTTATTGTTAACAAAAGTTATTATTAAAATATTATTAATCAATAGAGCCGACTCTTTCGTGTTCGGTGATACAGATGGGTAGCCTAGCAGTTGTACCGTCTCGATATCGTTTGACCTCAAGAACAATTAGAATATTCAATTAACAGGACCCGTCGAGTCGGGATCACGGGATTAACTCCTGCCAAGAGGAAAGTAGCACAACGCGGAAGAGCGACGATAACTTGAACGAATGGAGGTCTTCCGGGCGACGTAGCGTTCACGAGATGATCAAGCGATTTCAACAAGTGCCTGGCATGCATAATGGCTGGCGAGGTACGCGTTCTGGAAGCAGCGAACCAACGAGCCCCGAGAACAGCCAATGCTCCCAAAATCAGAGGCTTCAGCCCCAGGGTGGCGTAGGAAACGGATGGCATGGAGAAGGTAATGGCATATTTACTATCAGTTCATCGATAAATAAATAATCAATCAAATACAAAACCTCGATTATCCGAATTCTTTATTACCCGAATACATTTAGCATATAATCAGCTCGATCTGAGGCAATCCACATGCAACATGATTTACCATATATACAGGGTGTCCCAGGTTTTAATGTTCAAACTTTGAAAAAATTTTCGATCGATCTCAATCATGTATTGTCAACAACGGTAGGCATTTCGAAATGTGTTAATAAACACAGCTTACATAAACACACGGCATGTGCTGATCTATTCAAGCCAATGCTCGCAGTAACAGCAAGTTGATTACTATTCCTATTCTGAATTTTTGTTATAGCTTCTTAATAAAGCTCTATATGACCTATGTTTACATCACATTTTTTTCTTACTTTGTGCCATAGAATACACTGACAAAGTTTCGATCATTAAAACCTGGGACACCCTGTATAAAAAATGATTTATTATAATAGGTGACAATTGGGACTGCACTTTATAAAGCAGATTTTCAACTCTGACAGCTTGTGTTTTAAATGTAGTAACTATACATATTCACCTCGTAGATTAGTATCTTGTAAACTCTCTGGTTAAGACTAGATAGTTTGATATTACAATATATTTAACATTTACAATATTTAAAGATCAAAGGTACGACAAATATTCGCTTGAAAAACTTAAAAGGTGTAGTACATTTAAAAAATATAGGCAAATGTTTTCTTTTTGAGATAACTGTTAAATAGAACATCAAGATATTCTAAAAAGATATTAAACGACGTTTTAACGACGTTTTATTATATTATATTATATTTAATTTATCTTATTATATTTAACGACGTTTTCATAAATTACCTGCTACTCAAAATTACAAAATGGTAACCAAAAGCGACTGACATATATTCTTCTTCTAAAACTGTTTATTATATTTGCAAATTATTCAAGCCACTCCTCCTAATATTATATATATATCTATCTTCTACACCGATTATAGCTACTTTTTGCATTCTCATTTTATTCTTCGACATCATTGACCGTCGTTTAGTTTCTATACAAGTTAACGAAGATTCGCATTGGCTTAAAGAATAAGTCCCTATTACTGAATATAGAAATACGTTTAATTAAAGTTAAAGACTTGGCTGATAAAACGGATTGCATTATGCAAAAAGACGGAAGAAAATAATGAAAGAAGAAAAGGGAACGAACGACTCGAAAAAACGATGTAAAAGGTGGTATTAGATTAATAAGCGACAATTCGTCGTAGTCGTGTTAAAATGCAAAGGAAGGTTTTTAATATTATCGCAACGAACGTAGGTAATGATAGCGAGAGCAGCGAAGGAGACGAGGACGAGCAACCGGAAGCACTTAGCGGAGGGATCACTGGAAAAGGAGTGATATCGGAGCACGTGCATTACGACAGCATAGCCAGAATGCCATATAGGTCCCGTAATGCGGTTTATAGCCCGACACCGCCTTTGCATGATGCACACAATGATTCAGGGTACAGCACCCGCATGTACGGCTCTAGCAAAGGTGCTTCACCCTCCTTGTCAGGTAAGAATTACTCCGCTTTAATTATACGATAGTCGCATTCATACTTTTATGCCTGTAGCCATAATCTTCTACCGAGTTAGACAATTTCAATGACTCCTTATATTTGTGATATTTGTATGCCACAAATGTAAATCGATGGAAAACTATTCAAAGGACAGAGACTTGAAACGATTTTCTAATGCGAACAAGAGAAAATTTTTAACTGCTAATAGTAGTGCTTTCAAATGTGCAGTTGTTTTTCAAAATAATTTAGTAAAATACAGAGAAAGAAAACATGAGAAATTTTAATCTTGAAAAACAATTGCACAATTTAAAGTACTAATATCGACAATTAATATTGACTTTCTCATTAGAAAATCGCAAAATCTCTTCGAGTCTCCTGTTTTTTTCCTCAATGTTTCTCCAATATTTTCTTCGATCTTTAAATTGTGCATTGGCTACAAAGAAACTGGAATTCCATCAATTTGAATTAATTCCGTGTCATTTTGATTGCAGCACTTTTACAAAAGATTACATTTCCACCTTTCAGGTCAATTGGAATGCGATGTGATCCTTCCAACCGCAACGAACACATTTCCTAGCGGGGAGCAACTAGTGGCGTTGTTAGAACAACCAAGGAACCACGATCTCACGGTTTACGAACGCGGTGCCGACAACGTTGTCATTAATATCGGAACCGCGAGCCTTGTTTAAGACTTTTATCATTTGATCCGAGTATCATTATATTCACACTTCCAAAGACGCATCAACTTTACATAACTTTATTATACCTGCCAAGGTGTTCATACGATGACGAAAATGTTGTGTATAAATGAACGTTGTCCGTTCTGTTTAGGTCATGATGTACAAAATGCTTTTTGATTAACAAATTGTTGCGTTATCATTTTGTAAATAATATGTAGTCGAACTTTAAAGCATAATATACTGTAAGAAATTATATGTCAACCTTGAAATTTTCTACACTTCTTTTATCGATTCCATATTTATTTAAAAACTAAATATTCTTGGTATTTCCCCCAAAAAAAGAACAAAATAGAAGAAGTTCTGTAATAATGGAAAAATATCGAAATACTTTTTCTGAAATTTTACTAAACAGAAAAGAAACTTAGTTACATAATCTTTTTGTTACTCTTATTGTTGTATATTCTTCTAAGTAACGTTAGCGCAGCTTTTACAGTAAGTGTGTTATGTATCAGCATATTGCCATGTACCACAAAATTAGAATAAGTTTTATCTATTTATTATATACATGTATAATACTATGTACATGATTATTTTGTTCACAATATTATCACATTAGTAACGAATATGTAAATTTAGTTTCGCCTGATTAAGTAGATCTTTGTTTCTTCCGTTTCAAAACTGAATGTATTCTGCAGTGATAAATGCGATTAAATAATTGAAAAGATGAAAAACTAATGTTGTATCTTATTTACAATGCATGTAACGATGAATATTCCGTTATCGATGAGTGATACAAAGGTGTTCCTTTTAGAGAATTGGAATTAGCACTTTCAACTTTTACAACAACGTAATCACCACTCTTCACCGGCCGTTTAACATTAGAACCTTTTTCAGTAGGTAAGTCCATAACTGGAATCACTACTCGTATGTTCCCCTCACTTCTTCCTTGAAAAAACTCATCTGATCGTTTGCTAATCTAAGAGAAAAAAGAGAGAGATTCGAAATTAGATTACGTTTCAGCAAATTATTATCGTTACAGTACTACTACGTTATATCAAAATTATTTACTCCTTCTATTAGCACAAGTTGTAACTGACCAATCTGTGACTTATTTAATTCTTCTGCTATAGTTCTATATACTACATTCACTCTTTCAAGGCGATCTATTTTTACAGCATGTTCTACGTCATCTTTATAGCGACGATGAGCAGTAGTTTTCTAAAAGCATTAAAACTTCTTGTAGTAATAATTAACATTGCATATTGATTGGAAAAATTTGTATAATTATATATCACCTCCCGCATGCTGTATGCAAATATATATGCTTTATTAAATTTAACTAATTGCATCAATGATAACGTATCTTGAAATTGTTCCTCGGTTTCACCGCAAAACCCGACAATAAAATCAGAGGAAATATGTATATTAGGAATAATACTGCGTATATGATGAACCAAATCCAAGTATGCTTCTCTTGTGTATCCTCTTCTCATTTTTTCTAAAATCGCAGAATTGCCACTTTGTGCAGGTAAATGAATTTCATTACAAATGTTTGGCCTCTCTGCTATTAATTGTAAAACCTCGTCAGGAAAATCCTTAGGATGCGGTGATGTAAACCTAAAAATATAATTTTCATTAGTTATGTAACTTTTAAAAACAAATGTTTCTGAAATAGTATAAAACTGAAATACCTTATCCTTATGTCTGGATTAATACGAGAAACCTCATCTAATAAATCACAGAATCTTCGTCCACCTTTTTTACTTTTGTATACAGTTTTGAAACCTTTAGCCAAATGTGTTTCCTCAATATTAGACATATAAAATTCTTTTTCTGACATATCTCTGTAACTATTTACATTCTGGCCAAGTAACACCACTTCCTTTACACCCTCATCAGATAAAGACTGCACCTCCTTAACTATACTGTCAAGTGGTCGGGACCTTTCTCTACCTCGTGTGAATGGAACAATACAATATGTGCACATATTGTCACAGCCCCGCATTATTGAGCTGAATAAAATAATTATACTAATGATCAACTATTGCAAAGAATGTAAAAAACAATTTTAAATATATCATGAAACATTACACATAGGCGCTAGTAGATTCTTTGTTCAATCTTATTGGCATAATATCAGCATATGTTTCATCAAATGATAAAACAACATTAACAGCAGTTTCATTTTCTGGTACACTCAAAAGTCTTGGTAAATCCTTATAACTGTCTGGACCAGCTATCACATCAACAAGCTTACCTTTGTCTAATATTTTATCTTTTAAACGTTCTGCCATACAACCTGGTGTAAGAATAAATCTATTACAACATCTTACAAAAATGAAAAGTATTAGAATTTGTAGATATACCTAGTAAACCAATTTTCAATTTAGACTTCGCTTTTTTTCTATTAACATTTATACATTTTAGTTTGTTCCATACTTTTTGTTCTGCACTATCTCTAATTGAACATGTAACGAGTAAAACTATATCAGCTTCTGATATAGTGTCTACTTTTTGATAACCATGTGACTTTAAAACAGACCAAATAATTTCTGTGTCGTTAACATTCATTTGACAACCATAAACTTCAAAATACACTGAAATAAAAACAATCTATATAGAACATAAAGAAGACATTAATATATAAATTATTTACCTTTCTGACTACTGCCACTGATATCTTTTATATAAGGAATATTTGGTGCATCAATGGAATTGGTAGGTATGATATCGTGCACTATAAAATCCTTTAATGAGGGTCCTGTTTTCGATAAATCTCTAAATTTTTTCGAATCAGTAATAGTGTTTTGACTGATTTCTTTAGAACATGTTTGAGTTGCAGTTTCCTGCAGTGTTCGATATTGCTTATTATAAGGCAACACATTTTTACTTTGAGTGAAACATGTTTCGTTAAACAATTTTTTTGTTATATTGTTACATGTATTGGTTGGTTTAATTTGTTTCAGTGAATATAACACAAAACCTTTACTGTTCATGGTTGATATTCACATAAACAGTCTCACACGAGTTCCTATGACGTAATAATAATATGAAAATAAAATTTATCAAAAAATGTATCGACGTAAAATATCTTATTTTATATCATTTTTGAAAATTACAATGAAGATACTGTGTAGATACATTTAATTTTTAAACTCACTCAGTATTTTGCTTACAAATATTTAGGTTACCTGTTATGAAATTTTCACTTGTTTTTATCGATCCTTTCCCCACCTTCAGTATAGAGTTATATTATTATAGGTTAACTTCCACCAGTGGTTCTCAATTACTAACTGATGAAATTTTAACTGTGTATACATATACAGACATTAAAATATTCAGGGATGCAAAAAGTCTTTTGTTAACAAGATTCCATTATACAAATTTTCTTACATGTATAATTACTTCACGCAGAAACACTATTAAAGCACTAATAAACGTAAATGTAACTTTCAATATTTATTGAAAATACCCATATCAAGCAATTTGAAAATATAATTTTTTACTCATCCTATATGATTCATAACATCCTTTTGACTAAGATTTAACTTCTATTACTCTAATCAGCAGTAATACTGTCAAGCTTAAACCAGTGTTCCATAAAACTCTTGGAGTGAATGGATGTAATATGGATTAAAATTTTGGAATGTTTTGGAATACATAAGAATGATCATTTTTAATTGAAATAAATGACAGTATATGTTGTACATATATTTTTATTAATATGTAATATTATAAAAATTTAATTATCCATTACTTAATGATGAGCAGCTGCTTTCCTCATCTGGACAAGGATGTTTCCAAGTTCTTCACGTTTCCTCTTAGCTCTGATGTGTGTGCCCAACTATACAATTAAATATATAGAAATATTATGCACGTTATTTGTCTAAATCAAATTTTAATTTTGAAATGTATTTGTAAGCTTACCCTCCTCTTCAAGAATTTCAATGCACGCTTATCCTTGGAAACCTTCAACAATTCCATAGCACGCTTTTCGTATGGTGCATGACCAGTTACTTCACGAATTAAATCTCTGACAAACTTGCTGTGTTTGGTTTGTCTCTAAAATAGTAAAATAAATACAAACGTATTAATCCCTGTTACAGTATCACTGTTTCCAGAATGACAGAATTCAAAACATAAGTACAAATAAACAAAATGANAGACCTTACAATATTCAGGGATGCAAAAAGTCTTTTGTTAACAAGATTCCATTATACAAATTTTCTTACATGTATAATTACTTCACGCAGAAACACTATTAAAGCACTAATAAACGTAAATGTAACTTTCAATATTTATTGAAAATACCCATATCAAGCAATTTGAAAATATAATTTTTTACTCATCCTATATGATTCATAACATCCTTTTGACTAAGATTTAACTTCTATTACTCTAATCAGCAGTAATACTGTCAAGCTTAAACCAGTGTTCCATAAAACTCTTGGAGTGAATGGATGTAATATGGATTAAAATTTTGGAATGTTTTGGAATACATAAGAATGATCATTTTTAATTGAAATAAATGACAGTATATGTTGTACATATATTTTTATTAATATGTAATATTATAAAAATTTAATTATCCATTACTTAATGATGAGCAGCTGCTTTCCTCATCTGGACAAGGATGTTTCCAAGTTCTTCACGTTTCCTCTTAGCTCTGATGTGTGTGCCCAACTATACAATTAAATATATAGAAATATTATGCACGTTATTTGTCTAAATCAAATTTTAATTTTGAAATGTATTTGTAAGCTTACCCTCCTCTTCAAGAATTTCAATGCACGCTTATCCTTGGAAACCTTCAACAATTCCATAGCACGCTTTTCGTATGGTGCATGACCAGTTACTTCACGAATTAAATCTCTGACAAACTTGCTGTGTTTGGTTTGTCTCTAAAATAGTAAAATAAATACAAACGTATTAATCCCTGTTACAGTATCACTGTTTCCAGAATGACAGAATTCAAAACATAAGTACAAATAAACAAAATGAAATACAATAAAAACGTGTAATTTATTTAGATAAAATATTGTAAATGCAGATCATAATTAATTGTTATATATTTTTAACACTCTTACGAAGCAATTAAATACGATATATGGGAAGAAAGTAATATTTTTAATAAGTTTTCCAAGTCACTTGTAAAATACTTACCCCCTTAAATCTGGCTGGCAAGACACACACGGTCTTTTTCTTTTCATTTGCATTTTTTGCCACACGTATTTTGGTGGTTTTATGGCCTTTGTTGAGACCAACAGCTAATTCGTACCTCGGTGCCATCCTGGAAAAATAACACTGCAAACTTTAAAGGTTAGAACACAAAATAGCACTAAATGATGAAAAATTCATATTGCATGAGAATATTGTGTATTTCATATTGCTACGATATGTAAAAGCACATATCACTACAAAGATTCTATTGTTTCATAAAGATCACAAGAATATTTATCGATACAATTTGACACAAACCTTTACGGATCGAATACAGAATATAGAAGGAAATAAGATCTTATTTTCAATAGAAATTTGTCATTCACACTTTATGCGCGTGCGCCATAGGATCACAGGTCCGATTTACAAAGTATACGACGATACATTTTATTCACTGGTGGATTTGGTAACAAAGCAAAATTTCCTAGTCGTTGTTCCGTTTAAAATATGTATTTGTGTAAAAAATATTAGTAATAAGATACAATAAAACAATATAATTTTATTTTAGGTATCATTAAATTTGAAAAGTATATTATAATTGTAATTTATTTCCTGAAAATTTCTTACCATCAATTTAAACTTTCATATTTTGCACTTACCGGTGGTCAGATTGTATTATAATATTCAAATCTCGTAACTTCATGGTTATGGTTCATAATTGCTGCGGTGTCAGTTTTTTGAAGTGAATTTTTTAACTTATATTACAAAGCGGCATGTTTATAGTATACGCTGTTCTATTACTTTTCTTAAAAGTGTCTGTTTTATAACGGTTCTTCCCACTGACAGGAAATCATGTCTAAAATGAAAACCGTTTCGAATAACTTAACCAAATGGGATCTGTCAGAGGATCCACTGGCACCATTAACTGAGCATCAAAAGGATTGTTTATTAAGTTTAGAAGAAGAATTGTCTTCCATGAGCACATTGAAGAGTGACGAAATAAGTGACACTACAAACGCAAGTGAAACAGATAAAAAGTCAGTACAAATAGAACGATATCAAGATCTTTTAGAACACTACACCTCATTAGAAAAAGAATGCATGGATAAAAAAGACATAAAATACATATTATATCTTGATGAGCTACAAAATCGACAACACGAGTGCCATGAGCTTTGCCTCCAAATCGAAGAGGCAATGGAAGACTTTACAACTTTATATAAACAATATTCAGAGGTATCTGATAAAACCACTTCCCTTTATAATGCTAGTGAACAGCTTGACTCTGATCAGAGGAAATTAAATTCTACTTTAGAGAATATCACCGAGTATGTGAAATACTTTAAAGATATCGATATGATGATGGAAAAATTAGAAGCACCAACATTGTCAGTGAACAGCGAAATGTTCTTTAATATATTGGATAAAATTGATATAAATATTGACTTTGTGCAAAGTAATCCATCATTTAAGGAGAGTAATACATACTTAATTAAATATAAACATTGCCAGTCTAAGGCAATATCTATGATACAAAATTATATATTTAATCTATTTAGTAAGACTACAGAAAGTATTTTAAATCTGAGAGATAGTGATGATTCCAATGATAGTGCTGATGCGGCATTAGCACTTTTCTATGGAAGATTTCAAACTATTTTATCAAAAGTTAGGCCTGTTATAGAGCAAATAGAAGTAAAATCATATAAAAGACAAGAGTATGATAGTTTGTTGACAGAGTGTCATCAATATTATTGGAGCCAAAGAGGATTAGTATTAGGCTCTAGTGTACAGAAATCCTTAATGTCTGTAAAAGAGAAATACAATGGTGATCATTGTAGTTTGGTACGAAATTCGTGTGCATTATTGTTGCATGCATCAATGGATGAATACAAATTATTTTATGAATTTTTTTCAAAGCCATCCAGTGGATTGACAGCATACTTAGAAAGTCTATGCACATCTTTGTATGATATGCTGAGACCATTTATTATTCACATTAATCATTTAGAAACATTGGCTGAAATTTGCTGTATTCTGAGAATTGAAATGTTGGATGAGCATGTACAAAATAATTTCGAACCTTTGGAAGGATTTGGAAATATTTGTCTACAATTGTTGCACGATGTACAGGAAAGACTTGTTTTTCGTGCTCACTTATATTTGCAATCCGATGTTTTGAATTATAATCCATCACCGGGTGATCTAGCATACCCAGAGAAATTAAGAATGATGGAGGACATAGCAGAATCAATAAGAGAAGAGACACGACAAACGAAAATGAAAAGGATATCTGTGTCATCTAGCGATGACAGTTTCATTGAACCAGTTTCTAGAAATCATATTGTAATGGATTCTATTTATCAAAAAACACATATGGGAAATTCACCAGCAGATCTTCATGGAATGTGGTATCCTACAGTCCGTAGAACGTTAGTTTGCTTATCAAGATTATACAGATGCATAGATAGATCTGTTTTTCAGTCTTTGAGTCAAGAAGCAATATCTCTCTGTGTTCAAAGTATAGAGAATGCAAGGCAAGAAATTGAGAAACGGGCGTCAACTTTAGATGCAGAACTTTTCCAAATAAAACATTTATTGATATTACGCGAACAAATTGCGCCGTTTCAAGTGGACTTTACTATAAAGGAGTACAGTCTAGACTTCTCTAAAGTTAAGACTGCTGCATTTGGCTTACTGGAAAAAAGTTCTAGACTTTTTACATTGTCTAATAATGCATTATTGGAATTTTTATTAGAAGGGGCACCACAAATGAAGGAACAACTAATAGACTCCAGGAAGCATGTAGATAATAAATTGAAATATACATGTCAACGCCTTATACAGCATGCAACATTTTTGTTGATACATCCAATTTTAAAATTATTAGATAAAGAAAAGTTATCTGTTAATACCAACAATTCAGATAAACCGCAAGAACATAATCTTGGAAGTCCAGAAGATGTTTCTGCAATAATCAGTGAGGTGTTGCGGATAATTAAGTTTAAATGCCCTGAAATTCAACAATCAATGCAATTATATCTGTCCAATAAAGAAACAGAGTTCATTCTGTTCAGACCAATAAAAAATAACGTATGCGCAGCATTTACACAATTATATCAGATTCTGAGTAAATATTATAATGCAGAGGAACTTCTTTTAATCGCTTGTCCACTACCAGAACAAATTTCTGTTATGTTGAGTTCATCCAGTCTTGTTCATGGCAAAAGCACACAAAGCATGAAGAAAACGTAGCCAACATGAATTATCAAATGTTTTGTAATACTAGCTCAATTCTTTAGATATTGTACATTGATATCATTTTAAAAATGTAATCAAACTATTAATATTTTGAAAACGTATGTTCTTAAAATAAGCATTAATATATAATACAAATATCCTATTATATTGTAAATTACATAGAATGTACATAAACAATGTATTGCTTATAGTATAGTTCGGGTGTTAAAATTTCATAAACCACTATAATTTATGCTGTTCTGTTTTAAAAAATATTATGCAATGTTTTATTTCTTTGTATTTTAAAAACATGTAACTTCTGTGTTATAAAGGTGTATATAACTAATGGTATTAAATTACCTTAGAATACAATAAAATTTGTACTTCTCTTAAGTCGGTATTTACTTTTTCAAATCAACTTTTAAATATGAATTGACATAATGTAAACAATTCCACAACATTTCTTCAATAAATACAGCAAATATATTACATAATTTTA